TTTCCCTAGATTTTCTTGAGTTTTGTGGTATTGTAACAAATAGCTTAAAAAGCCTTAAGAAAAATGGTGGCTTTCATTTAAGTTCCATAAAAGTCTTTCCATTTTCTAACCTTAATTAAAAGCAATTAAATTAGGGTTAGACAATCATGTACTAAAATTATTCTAAGGTATATATATTCTATGTTTGCTCCTATTGAAGTTGCTGCTGCTTCCCTCTTGGTTTGGGTTTTTGTTGTGTTTTTTTTTCTGAAGTCGCATTATAATAGTGGAATAATCTGGATTTTTTTCCAAAGGCACAAGGAGGATTGGTGAACTACGAGCAGTACACAGGTAAAAAACAAAACAAACCAAACCCTTTTTTTAAAATACCCTGCAATAAGATTTTAAAAGTTGATTGTGAGAGTAACCCCCAAATTTATTTTGTCTTTAGCAGAGCTGAAAAGCATACTAGGTCACAGTGGCAAAAGAAAGGCTCCTGAGCTCCTTTCTGATGGACCTTCTTTCAAACGCCAAGCTACTATTCACCCACACCTCCTGGTAAGCTTGTAGTATGTTTTTCTGTGCCTTTATCTTTCAGTTTGCTTTATGTGATCAGAAACTACCAGACACAACTACATTTCTAACTTTCTGGGGCTTGTTTTGATTTTCCTTTATTTTTCCTGACAGACGCCACCCCAGACACCGACTTCTATGGATAACATGGAAGAGACTCATAAAAATGACCCAAAGCATGACAACAATTCTGATCTGCTTCAGAGCATTATAAACATCAAGAACGAGTCGAGCCCCGTTTCTCTGAACACAGTGCAGGTTAGCTGGTTGCACACTGTCTCCACTCACAGCTCGCCCGGCGAGCAGTACCAGGACAGCCCGGGAACACAGGCTTTTTCCCCGTCCCAGAAGTACCAAGCATTCCAAGATCACACCTCCCAGCATATGCTTGATCCGCCGCAGCATTACCAGTTCCCTCCGTCCCAGAATCAAGATTTGTCACAGAGCTATCCTTCGGACACCTCCCTGGAGTACAGGCCGTTTGCTGCCAATGACCAGTCTCCTGGCTACCAGCAGAATACCTTTGAGAGCCATGAACTGCAGTACTGCCCCTCGCAGAGCTTCTCCTCCCTTTTGAACGACTCTGAAGGCTCGGAGGGTATCGCCGCTCCCCTCCAGCCGCTCGCCAGTGCCCACCCACAGGCTGACGTCGGCCCCCCGCCTCCGAACTTCAGCTTGCTTTCCAGTAACGTCTGTGGTAATCTGGAGCGCAGTGTCTCTTTGGCTACTTTGAATGTCTCTCTACCTGACCAAAACATCGCCAGAAGCACGACGCAGCTGGGCAAGTCATTTTTTCAATGGCAAGTGGAGCAGGAGGAAAACAAACTAGCAAACATCTCTCAAGACCAGTTCCTTGCAAAAGACTCGGATGGAGACACGTGAGTGCTGTTTATCTCGGTGTTTCTGATGTGGAAGGTTGGGGAATATTTCTATTTGGGTTCTGGTGGACCATGGGGTTTAATGGAAGCTGTTCATTAGCAGTGCTTGTATCAGGGGTGCAGTAGTTCTGCTAATCAAATGACATGTGGTCTTGCTGGTGGACTGTGACGCACAGAGTTGCAGCACATTGAATAGATGAGGCGTTTGTATCCTCTAACGATAAGTACATGAAATTAGACTTTCATCAAGTAAATGGGGAGAAAAAGATTCTAATTTAGATGCTTTGAATTGTCCTTTGAAGAAGGTGCCTGTATTCCTGTCTTAGTCACCCAGAGAGGTCTGAAGCTGGCAGCATAACACCATCCCCGTACGTTTGCATCTCTGCAATGTCTCGAGCCCCGGGTTGTATGGTGGTGTAACTCTGTTTCCCCTCGTTCCTGCAGCTTCCTTCACATTGCGGTTGCCCAGGGCCGACGAGCGCTCTCCTATGTTCTTGCGAGGAAGATGGCTGCCTTGCACATGCTGGATATTAAAGAGCACAATGGCCAGGTGAGGTTCTCAAAATCTTTGCACCTGAGTGCTCTGTGTGTCTGGACCTTGAAATGCTTATTTAATATTAACCCCGAGATTTAGCCTGCATACTAATATTAACCTTGAGCTATTAATACTTCTTGGGATCACCTTGAGCTGGTAAAACTATGTGCTCTGCTTCATTGTCCTGGCTTCCTGGTATTCATAATCACTGTTTAAATAATGCCAGGTAGCTAGGCTTTTTATTTGTTTTAGTTGCTCTTTCCTGTTAGCGATCAGATGACTGATAGTTTAAATTTTCTTCTCGATGTTTGCAGAGTGCTTTCCAGGTTGCCGTGGCTGCCAATCAGCATCTCATTGTGCAGGACTTGGTTAGCTTGGGGGCTCAAGTCAACACCACCGACTGCTGGGGTAGAACGCCGTTGCATGTTTGCGCTGAGAAGGGGCATGCCCAGGTCCTTCAGGTAAGAACCAGGCAGGTGTAGCTCTGCCCTGTCCGTAAGATTTATGTTTCTTCAGAGTTGTCTTGGAAAACTCTGAAAATGCCACTCCTCCCCTTATCTTTCTCTGTAGCCTTGTGAGTATGTCTGAGGGCTCCACAGTAATGGCTTAAAGCGAGACTGAGTTTCATGTTAAGGTTGTCACCAATGTTTTAAAGTAATTTGGTTGAATCCTCCAGTATACAAAAACAATAAATAGATCTCCTCTTAATGCTGTTGTTTATTGCAACTTTGTTGCAGTAAGACTATACAAGCTTGAGGAAGCAATATGTGGTTTGAATAAGACCTAAATGCATACCTGTTCCCACTTTTGTAGGCGATCCAAAAGGGAGCCATGGGAAGCAATCAGTATGTGGACCTTGAGGCAACAAACTATGATGGTGAGTAGTTAAGAGTTTATAATTTACAGAGTTACTGGATGTTGTAATGTTTTATGGCTGCTGATGTGAACGTTATCCTGGGTTGAGAAGCAATAAAATGGAATATACCTTTGCCAGGTTGAAATTTACAATTACAATTGAAATTACATTACAATTGGCATATCTGTCAGATAAAAACATGGTTAGTCTGTGCCTGTCAGGACCTCTTCCCTCTTATGTGTGATCGCCATGTTTGACGTGGAGAGCGTAGGTGGTAACAGGCTGGTAAAAATGTGTGAGTGCCAGGGATACATTGGTGGATACAGAAGCCAGAATCTCTGACACCAGAGAGCTGTTTTAGTTGAACCACTTTCCACACAATAGCTCATTCTAAAGTGTATTTTGTAAAAAAAAAAAAACAAAAAAACAAAAAAACAAAAACCCACATCAGAAATTGATTCTTTTATTATCTTCTGGCTCAAAGGTCATAGTAGGTTGCTACTTAACTCCTCTGGCAATGGACAACCCACATCCTGAGCCATTCAAGAGCAATCACTGTCGCTTAAAAATGTGGAACCGTCCCTGGCCTTGACAGGAGGAGAAGCTCCTTTATCCATCCTTCAAACCAAGCAGCCATTCAATACTTCTATATTGCATTTGTTCATTAACGATGATTTGTTTTTAATGTTAAGGTTTGACAGCGTTGCACTGTGCTGTTCTGGCCCATAATGCTGTGCTGCATGAACTGCAAAACAGTCAACCACCTCACTCCCCTGAGGTCCAGGAGCTTCTGCTGAGGAACAAGAGCCTGGTAGAAACCATCAAGACTCTAATACAAATGGGAGCATCCGTTGAAGCGAAAGTAAGTACAGCGGCTTTGTGTGAAGTTACAGATCCAAAGAGAATGTGGAAGCAGAACATGTCCCTTTCTCCCACGCCACATCTTAGCTTTATTACAAAGGAAGTAGACTAATTAGAAAGCTTCCCTACAGCTTAATTTACCCAAGTGGAATGAGAATGTTGCATATATTCAGAATAAGGTATTATCAATGCAAATGAACCATAGGGTTTTCTGGATTAAGAATGATGCTATGTTGGCTGTAGCTGGCTGTGTCTTGAAAGTAAGAATATGTTTGGAGCACTCTGAGGTATCCCTAGTAATAGGGCATTGATGATACCTTGTTCTTGAACTGTAAATTTTAATTAAAAACTGCTTCCCTGTCCAGTTTAGGTCGGTGCTGGGCCGGATCATTACTTGGTATAACATTTGATATTTTGGCTATGTAGGCTTACTGCCAAAAGAGATCTGGTCCATCATTCATTCATATTCATATTAAAATAGATACTCAGATTGACTTTCAGTGAGTTGTAGTGCAAATGTTTGTTCAACACTCTGCAGTTACTCTGCTTTCTGTTTTATTTGTCTGCATGTTTACCCTGGATAGGTGAAGCACCTGCAGGGAAAGCTAACAGTTTCTTTTTTGATAGGATCGCAAAAGTGGTCGCTCTGCTTTACATTTGGCAGCAGAAGAAGCGAACCTGGAGCTCATTCGTCTCTTTTTGGAGCTGCCCAACTGCCTCTCTTTTGTTAATGCAAAGGTACGTTGGTTGTTCCAGAGTGCAGGTATAATCCAGGATGTTCATGTGTGGCACCGCGAGTGTCCTGAGGCTCGTGCCCTTGCCTTTGCTTCACGGCGTTACTTCGTCTTCTGCAGGCTTACAATGGCAACACAGCTCTCCACGTGGCTGCCAGCCTGCAGTATCGGGTGAGTCAGTTGGATGCTGTGCGCCTGCTAATGCGGAAGGGAGCTGATCCAAGTGCCAGAAACTTGGAGAATGAGCAGCCAGTTCATCTGGTTCCTGATGGCCTTATAGGAGACCAGGTAAAAACCAAAACAAAACAAGCAACCCTCTCCTCTCCTCCCATCTGTCCTCACACAAAAGCCTTATTCCTCTACAAAAGATTCTTTTGGGTTTTGAATTGCAGCTTTTAAGCAAAAAAACCTTAGCAAATGCCATTTTATTCAGGGATCTTTAGTTTTAATGTCTGGATCAGACAGACTATACAAATACCTGAAATTACAGGTTTTACTTGTAGTTTTTACTTTGTCCATCTCAAAAGCTTTTTCCTGTCAAACTAAGGGTTTTTTTTCTTTGTAACCTTGTAATATCCCTTCTCTTGCTCATCTTGGTACTGCCTGAGATCATGCTTTTGTTGCTCTTGTCATAATTAGTAATGGCAGTTCTTAGGCCTGAATAACAATTGAAGAAAATCCCTTTTTCCTAGGAGCTATACAAATACATGATGAAAAAGGTGTATCTTGACCTAAGAAGCTAATAACTTAAGCAACTGAGTAATTCTGTTGCCTTTCTTTTGTCCAAATGCTGTAAAATTGGATCAATTCTGGTGTAACTGAACTCAGAACCTAGGCTCAGATAAATAAGGAATGCAGAGCTGGGTCTAGGTGTTCTTTTTTTCAGATGATGACTCACTTTGGGATGATAAATACTAATGCTTTGTCTTTTTTCTCTTCTGCAGATAAGACGTATCCTAAAAGGGAAGGCGATTCAGCAGAGAGTGTCGCCATTTTAAGCTCCATGTTTCTTGGAGTTCAGCAACTCACACTCACTGTCAGTCAGGCAGTCCTAATGTATCTGTAAATAGACCATTTGCCCAGTGTGGGCAAATGTTAGTTGTTTCTATGAAACAAAAGTATTTTGTTCACTATCATATAGTGGGTTATATAAGAGTAAAAAAAAAAACAAAAACAAAACAACAACCCGAACGCCGACAATCAAATTCCTCCGAGCAAACGGGAATATTTCATTCCTAAGTATGTAGAACATTCACCTGGATACCTGGATTTCATAGCTACGGCAAGACTGATGTTATTTAAACAGCCATGCAGATAAATTCTGGACAAGAACAATTCTACAGGAAATCTTCTTAGAGAGGGCTGATACATGTCAACATTGCAGAGTTGGTTTTTTTTGTTGTGTTATTAAAAACACTTAAGTATTAAGTGCTAGAGAAAGCAAGTATTTTTGAAGTTGAACATTTATGTAACTTTGTAGCTTTCTTCCAGTATCTCATGCAGGATTGTATATAGTCACTGGCATTATTGTACAGCTGTATAGTTCTAAGAATCTATTGATCGCTTGGGGAATGAACTGAACAAACAAGTTCCTTGATCTTGAACTTGCAAATTGCATATAGAGTTCTAATACTATACTGGTGCAAATTGGGTAAATTCTGTTGTTTTGGAAGACTGAAAGTACAGCTAAGATAGATTGTCCCTATGTCCCTAGCACTGATTTGTGCATGCTTTTGGAGTTGTTAATAAAACATGAAAAGCCATGCTTCTTCAGGGGACTGTATCGGTCTTTCTTGTACCCAGTAGAGGTTTTTCTTTTGATGGGACAATAGATTAAGGGAGAAAGATCATGACTTCTATAGTGTATATAACTTTGTACTTTAAGGAATATGATCCTGATTCAGTGAAAATATTTAGCATGTGCTTAACTGGATGCATACTGAAATTGTTCCATGTTAATTATAATACTTCAATATGTGTAAGCCCCACTAGTCTCAGTAGGACTTAAGCACGTGCATAAGAAGTTTGCTGAATTGGGCTCTAGTTAATACTAGAGTCTTAATGTTTTTCACCTCCTAAGCAGAGTTAGTCCATTTATGGTTTTACCTTATAGGTATAGTGGCTAGCCAAGTAATATTTGAAGTTAACATTTTTCTATTTTTTAATAATTATGAGTATTAATGCAAAATGTATACTAATGATGCTATATACTTGTGTTCTGTTGGAGAAAACTTCTTCCTCCTATCACTTTCTGAGCGATCCGTGCTGGGCTGTAATCCAGTAATATGTTCTCTGTTTGGTCTTTGCTCTTAAACTGTTTTTGCATCACATGCAGTTCTCTGCCATAACCATTTAATTAGTCTGATCGTGCTATTTTGACAAAGTATGTCTTGTAGACAAGCTAAGTGAAAAAATCTGATATGTTGAGGCCTGGTTGCAATGTATTTCTTGAGGGGTCTCATGTAACTTGTGTTTGAATAAACATGCTAATTAAATTTTGGTGGTTAATGTCTGTGATACAAATAATTGTGATGAAATCAAGCTTGAGACAAAACTGACTTAGCACAGTAATACTGTGAGACTGGTGAAGGTCCATTTGTTAAGGATGAAATGAAGTATCTCCATCCCGCTGTTTATGCTTTCTCTTGTTTGATGCTGGTTTTGAAACTGGTGCTTGAGTGTTTTGGATCATGCACCATGCAGTTGTATTGCTTGTGTATTTAGTAGATACTCCCCAAATAGAGTTAATAGTCACCAGGTTGTCCAAGTTGCAGGTTGTTACCTGAACACTTGTTCCTGTATAGTTGGAGGAATGATAGCAGTTACGACAACGTCATGTCTTTCCCGTGGCTTCCTTGCCTTGGTCCTCAATTCGTACAGCTTAGGTACAAGCAGTCACCTTGGCACAGGTGGAAGTCTGTGTGAGCAAATGAGGCTATACCCATGGGGAAAGGCTCTCCTTGCTTCACAAATAAAAAAAGATGGGCTCTGAGCTGGCCATGACCTTTGAGGAGGAAGAACTGTCATCAGACTGTCCTTGCTGAGCACTGAGCTGGGGAGATGCCAACAGCCAAGAAAAGCAGATGAAGCATTAGGATCTGTAGGAAAGGAACTGAAGAAAAACAAGTGTGCTTCTTTGCTATTGTATAAACCTGTTGTCTGCCCCTGCCTCACTGCTGTGTGTGGCTGGGGTGTCCTCTCAGATTGAAGTGTTTTAGGGTTGGCAGAGGCCCAGATGTGTGGAGGAGCCTCTCTGCAGGGAGCAACAGAGCAGATGAGGGCTCTTCAGCTGGAAAAGCAATGGCTGACAAGCAGGTATGACAGGCCTGCGGAGTCATGACAGGCCTGCAGAGTCATGTCAGGCCAGAGAAACTGGATTGGGATGAACTGCTCTCTGTCCCTTCCAGCACAAGCTGGAGGCTACTAATGAAGATACCAGGTACATGACAGACAACAAGATACAATTCCTTGAGATAGTTGACGAATATAGTAGAAACAAGACATTTGTTGATGTGGGGAGGGCTAGAAGAAGGACCTTTTAGTGGAGGGTTACTGAAGACATTAATCACATGAGGCAGTCCTCTCTGTGTTGGAGGGTGAAGTTCTGTACCACAGGCTTGCCCTGCTCCCAGCTGTCCCCTGGGGACACTGTCATAGACCTGATACCAGACTAGATTATATCCTTCACCCAAATCATTGTGGTTAGACTTAGTGGCTCATGGCTTCAGTCTGGCTCCACTGATATTGGTTGCACCTTTAAGGAGCAGAAAATGTAGGAAAATCATCTTACAGCCAGTCAAGTGCTTCAGGGGGGTGCTCGTAGATCCTCTGTTCTGTGTAAAAACTTGTCCCTGGAAATCTCAAAAATGGCTTCTGGTGCTGAGGTAAGGTGACAGAGGAGGTTGTATGTTGTTTAGCAGATAAGAGTGGGAAATGATGAAGACTGGAAATGGAATTGAATTTCTAGTTAGGGTATCCAAAGATTAAGTGGCACCTCTTTGTGTCAACAGCTAATTGGGCCTAGATTGTGTTGAAGATGCAGTCATCTGCACCTCTCACTGCACATGAGCCTGCCTTAGGTCTTTTATTTTTTTTGGTATAAGGAGCCTGATAGTACTGTTTTCACTTCATTTCCATTTTCTTTATATGAGGTGATTACACAGAAAAAAGAATTACTGATGAGAAATTCTGGCCCTTCAGATCAGCCCAATCTGGCTGCCTGGCACTCCTTTCTGGGTGGTGTCGACTGAGTCATCTCACACAGGAATAAACTACCCTGGGCTTGTAAGGGTGGCGGAGCACAAGCATGTGCTCAGTCAGTGCTTGAGCACGAAGTAGGTGCTGCTGGTGAGAGGCATGTAGGAAGCGGCGCGGTGCTTTCAGCAGCATTTGTGCCCTTCTGGAAGGGGTGCTCCTGGCACTCCAAGTTAGAAAATTCCTGAGGGGAGACTGAAGTGTTTGAAAATGATCTGCCTAGAGCCTAATTTCATTGTCTCAAGAGCTCATTAGGCAATTTCACAAGAAAGCATCCCTACTGGAGGCGTTTAAGAGACGTGGCACTTAGGGACATGGTTTAATGGTGGACTTGGCAGTGTTAGGTTTAGAGTTGGACTCAATGATCTTGAAAGTCTTTTCTAGCCTAAATGATTCTATGATTCTACTCTGAGTATAACTGACTCATTTTTCTCCTCTATAATATTGGGAAGTTCTGGTGTATCTGACATGATATAACTAGTTATTATAAACAATCCCTTTTTACTGAAGGGTAAAAGTGACACTAAATATTTAGCAGGCTAATAGTGGTTACCTGAAAACTTATGGTGCTGGGAAAGTGCTGAATAGCTTTTATTGACTGGGATGCAGGTGCACCATTTATTTCTCTGGCTGGAGTAGAGGCAGAAGAGACTCTGGCTTGGGTCCGAGTAGGGATATTAAGACACATGGAGTTTTGTTCCCAGGATGTTTCTGATTTGTTTGTCTAAGTAAGCCAAACCTCAGGAAAGGGTTGCTTTTTGATTTTTGTGGGCAATTCATTTGGCTGGATTTGTGGAAGGTGGCAATCCACGATTTACAAGAAATGTGTTCTGCTTCTGGGGATGGAAAAAGTACATTTCCCACATTTATTGCTCATTTTATATTTTTATCAGGAAAAAAAAACATATACAGGAAGTGCATTCTTAAAGAGGTTGGGTGTGGTAGAAGCGACTTCAAAGATATGACACGAACTGCTTGTTCTTCTCGCCTGACAGTTTGCTTATCTGGTTGCCTTTCTTTTAAAAATATATAGGCTCTTGTGTGTAAGGGAAGAGCTGAGGATGATTAAAGTGCAGTGAACAGGGGAAGCTAAAGAACAGGTTCCTGCAATTAAAGTATCTGACAAAAAATGACCTGGTCTTTCAGTGCATTCAGAACAAATTCTTTTATTGTTATCTATTACCTTTCCTGAGTGTTTGGTGGTGGTCTTGGTCTGAGATACTAATGGCTTGGGAGAGTCATACAACTGACTCCTCATTAAGCTGGCTAAGTGCCATCCAGCCTCCAATACTGCTACCTTCCATTTCTCATGATTAGGACATGGACCAGCATTGCTGGTGCAGACACTGACCTGTGCCTGGGTTTAGAAAGGCAAGCGGCACCCCCAGATGTCAGGGCATCTTTCAAGCAGCATCCCGCCCTCCTCGGGGCTGCAGTGAGGGCTCCCTTGGCAGCATTTTGCTGTTTTGAGAGGAAGCCTCTCATAGCAGATTTGAATTTCTTCTAGAAGATGAAATACTAATTTGAGAAAGGTTTAGTTTGCTCAAGGGATGGACTGCTGATATTTCTGCCTCTAAATGAAATTGTTCATGACAGGTGGCCTTGCTATCTGGGAATGCTCATCTGTACACAAAGCCCATATGGGCAGCTCTGTTACCTGGCAAAATTTAGCAAGTGTTGCTGGCTAATGGACCAGTGTCTAATCTGACAGTATTTCTTTAGATTCGATCACCATTAGCAAAAAACTCAACGCAGCACTAATGAAACTGGGAACCGCACTAGTATGGAGATGCTACACAAGAGGTTGTCTTTTTTCAAATAGTGGGATTTGGGGATTGGTTTCTCTTTCAGGTGCCTATTTTGGCCTTGCTGGAGAAAGGTAATATATCTTGGGCTGTGTTTGTTTAGTGTGTATTTGTTTTCAGTGCTCGTGATTAAGAGGCTGACTCAATAAGTCTTTGTTTCACCTGGTAAACCTTACTCTTAGCTCTGAAAACGTGATCTAGGCTGTTTTGAGAAAGTGGTTGCTGCAC